TTTTCAAGGTGTCACGAGATTTTTGGTTTTATATTTTTCTTTATTTTGTTCAGCCTACTGAAACAGAGTAGATAAATAACCCTTTGAAACGCTGGAGGCCAGGATTCAAATCCCAACTCAGCCATGGAAACTCACTTGGGGGAGTGGAACAGGTAAAACCACTCCTTAAATATTTCACTTACTTTGAAAACCGTGTTAAGGCGGCTATAAGTCAGCAGTTCCAGCTTTACAACACAGAACATTCATACACGCAAGCCGCAGGGTTTTAGCTATTGATGACCAGATGTAAATGTAATGGTATAAATCATGGCCATGAGTTGGTGTTAATAAATGAGCTGTCATTTGCATTTCCCATAATGTACCAAGTTGCATGACACCTCATTAATTAGTATCAACGTGACATTGTCATTCACCCCACTAGGCTTAAATTGGCATCATTGTGAGCATCCATAACACTTACTGTTCTAACAGCTATAACTGTTTGAGAACAAGTTGTCCTTCAAATAGCCCTGCATTTTATAGCTTTGTAATATTCTGAATTCTTTGTTACTGAGTTTTACTATATTGATATCATGAATTCTTTCTTGGGAGTCTTTAATACTTCTACAGAGTGACAAGTTCCAAGGCCTTTGGTACTTTGACAAACCAAAATATTTTGTTGTGATGTGTAATCAAGTCATTTCCAAGCCCTAAGAGGAAAAACTGAAAGACTGTTTAGCCTTGAGAAAAGAAGACGGAGGGGGAGAAAGGATAGCACTCTTCGAGTTGAAAGGCTGCCCTACAGAGGAGGGGCAGGATCTGTTCTTGATCATCCCAGAGTCGAGGATGCACCACAATGGGCTCAAGCTTCAGGAAGACAGATTTCGGATGAATATCAGGAAAAACTTCTTAACTGTTAGAGCAGTACGACAATGGAACCAATGACCTCAGGAGGTGGTGAGTGCTCCAAAGTTAGAGGCATTCGAGAGAAATTTAGACAGATATCCTTTGATTTGGATTCCTACACTGAGCAGGAGGTTGGACTCAGTGGCCACAATGGGCTCAAGTTTCAGGAAGACAGATTTCGGATGAATATCAGGAAAAACTTCTTAACTGTTAGAGCAGTACGACAATGGAACCAATGACCTCAGGAGGTGGTGAGTGCTCCAAAGTTAGAGGCATTCGAGAGAAATTTAGACAGATATCCTTTGATTTGGATTCCTACACTGAGCAGGAGGTTGGACTCAGTGGCTTTATAGACCCCTTCCAACTTCATGACTCTGTGAATCTATAACCCTAAGTCAGGTTTCCCAGATATTGAGAGATGTTTAAGGAGTATTTTACCATGGCCACCTCCCAGCTAAAATCTATGGACAAACAGAGATTTGAACCCTCTTCGCTTCAGTTGGTACCACTCTATACCATGCTGGTGAGGCCATACTTTGAGTGCTGTGTCCAGTTGTGTTCACCACAATACAAAAAACTGCTGAGGCCCTGGGAGGGGTACAGAGATGAGGAACCAAGATGATAAGGGGACTGGGGGCTGAATCCTCTGAAGAACGACTCAAAGAACTAGGTCTGTTGAGCTTAACGGAGAGAAGACTGAGGGGGAGACGTGATAGCCGTCTTCCAAGATCTGAAAGGTTGCCCCAGAGAAGAGGGCACTGATTGATTCTCCATCATGCCTGAGGATAGGACAAGAACTGATGGGTGGAAACTCATCAGAGGAAGATCCAACCTGGAAATAAGGAGGAAATTCCTGACGGGTGAGAACCATGAAGCGGAACAGCTTGCCCCATCACTGGAGGTTTTCAAGAACAGATTGGACAGCCGTCTCTCCAGGATAGTATGAGGTCCGGGATGTGGTGAGGTCCCCTGTCTTGGGCAGGAGCTGAGACTAGAAGACCTTCAAGGTCCCTTCCAGCCCTACGACAATTCTATGACTCTAGTCCAATGGCTCCCCCCCCACCTACACCATATTAGCTCTTGAACACAGTGGTTTTCCAGCTTTCTAAACAAGTTAGAACACAGTTTTAAGTCAGTCAAATGTACACTTGGGCCCCTTCCACAGGTGGACCTGTTGCAAGAGACTCTTTCCCACCTTGTAGGTGTATGAGGAAATACAAGTTTTTGGGTCCTTGTTCTTGGTGATCTTTGTAAAATGTCACCATGCATGGCGGACTCGGGCAAATGCTACTTATCATGTTCTTTCGATTTAAAACCTTATTATGGCCAATGGCTTTATAGGCCCCTTCCAACTTCATGACTTTGTGAATCTATAACCCTAAGTTGGGCTTCCCAGATATTGCGAGATGTTCAAGGAGTATTTTACCATGGCCACCTCCCAGCTAAAATCTATGGACAAACAGAGATTTGAACCCTCTTCGCTTCAGTTGGTACCACTCTATACCAGGCTGGTGAGACCACACTTTGAGTGCTGTGTCCAGTTCTGGTCATCATGACACAAAAACGATGCTGAGGCCCTGGGAGGGGTGCAGAGAAGAGCAACCAAGATGATAAGAGGACCGGAGGCTAAATCCTCTGAAGAATGACTCAAAGAACTAGGGATATTGAGCTTAACGAAGAGGAGACTGAGGGGAGACGTGGTCACCGTCTTCCAAGATCTGAGGGGTTGCCCCAGGGAAGAGGGCATTGATGGATTCTCCATTGCGCCTGAGGGTAGGACAAGAACCGACGGGTGGAAACTCATGGAAACTCGTCAGAGGGAGATCCAACCTGGAAATAAGGAGGGATTTCCTGACGGTGAGAAGCATGAAGCAGTGGAACGGCTTGCCTCCCGATGGGGTGGGTGCCCCATTGCTGGAGGTTTCCAAGAAAAGATGGGACAGCCACCTCTCCGGGATGGTGTGAGGTCTGGGATGGTCAGAGATCTCCTGCCTTGGGCAGGGGGTCTGACTAGAAGACCTTTAAGGTCCCTTCCAGCCCTACGACAATCCTATCACTCTAGTCCAATGCTACCCCCTACTACATCATATTAGCTCTTGAACACAGTGGTTTTCTAGCTTTCCAAACAAGTTAGAACACAGTTTTCAGTCAAATGTACACTTGGGTCCCTTCCACAGGTGGACCTGTTGCAAGAGACTCTTCCCCACCTCGTAGGTGTATGAGGAAATACATTTGGGTCCTTGTGATTGGTGATCAATGCTCTTTGCAAAATGTCACCATGCATGACGGTCTCGGGCAAATGCTACTGATCATGTTCTTTCAATTTAAAACCTTATTATGGCTCTTTAATTATGCTGGTTTCTTACAGTTTACGGCTGGGCTATGCTGTGAAATTTCCTGAAAGAAATTCCAAATCTACATATGAGAGGAAAAGTCTTAACTAAACTTACTGGAAATTTGCTGGAAGTAAAAGGGCATAAGACTCCGCTGCTGAAGCATTTTGATGCTTTGTTTATGGCCCATTTGAAGCAGGTAGATAAAAGCTTATTATAGCCACTGGCCATTAAAACCACGAACATGTATATTAAAATACGCAACAAAATGATTTAACAATAGACAGGTTTGTACATCTGATAAGGTGATTGGAAGTCGGTTGTTCTAGAGTTTTCTCCTTACGGAGACTTCTTAAGCCCCAAAGGTGGGGTGCGTATATTTTAATAAGTGACCCTCCTCTGCCCCTTTTGACCAATGGGGTATCCTATGTATGTTTTCTGGGATCATGCAAACATTAGGACTTAACAGCTGGGGAGGAGATACAGTTCTGGGAGGCCGCCCTGCCACCACTTCTCCTCTTAGAATCAGGAATCTGTGTGTTATTTTGATGGACCTCGAAAGACAAACTGCAGAGCGTTGGTAACTGCGACACATCAGGTTTTATGCTAACCTATTGCAAATTAGGATTTGCAGCTTGGCTCCTAACCCCAGGAAAAATTCCTATGAATGCCCATGCTCAGAGACACTCAAAATCTGGAAAAGTTATTTTAAAAAGAAAAACCTTTACAGGGTTCTGGTAGCTGTAATTCAAAAAGTTACATTTTTTTCCCAGTCTTTGCCACTCCCTATTGATCCGTAGGACTGTTAGGGTGGCTGATGTCGCTGGTGACTTTTTTGTGGGGGGAGACAGAAGGGTTGTGCAATTTATTTTGTCAGTCTGAGATAGGCAAATCTCTACTGCAGACCTACAGTGGAGTCTCAACTTACAGTCGGCTCCACTTACGAATTTTTCAAGATCCGTGCTTTTCTGGCCGCAAATTTCCACTTTGACTTGCGGCCAGAGAATCGACCTACGGACCAGAAGAGGGAGGCGGGGAAAGGGCCATATTCAAATTTGGCACTTTCCTCATCTCCCCCTTCCAGTCCATATGCCACGGATCTGCCTCCGGATGCCTTCCAGGGCTTCTCCGCCGCCATGGGAGACATTTCAGAGGTCCCCCCCACCGTCGATAGTCCTTCGGAGGCACTATTTAAAATCCATGTCAAGGAAAGCTGTGCAGTGGATCTTGCCAGAAAACAGCAGAAGCACTTTTGGCCCTTGAAGGGGCTGCCTGTGGCTTGCAGGCTGAGCGTTGCCCACCCCTGTTGCTAGCAGAACAGAGTACCCCATTTGGGAACGTCATGGTCTCTCCCTCCGTGAAGTTCGTCCTAAGAAACGTCAAAATGGGTATAACTGGGATTTGTTTGATAAGTGTGATTTGGCTCTCACTTCTAACTTCTACAAAGCTTGAACCAGCAGGAAAAGAGTCGCTCTCCTGACTTCATCCTACCTTTAT